GAAGAAAGACCTATAAATAGATTTTTACAGCAATAGAAACGCGGTCCCACCAGGCCTGTTTAAACACGGAATGAGAACGCAATGGTTCATTTCTCACCACAACTGATGCAGCTGAAATGACGGACGACACGATTCTACACAACGGTACAGTTCAACAAGCAGATTTCAGACTTATCCATCCAGCACCACGGCGGAGTTATCATATTGCTACAAAAAGAACTCATCAACCATGAAGCAACGAAGGGTTACCTCACAAGGAACACAATAACCCGGTTCTTATAGAAAATAACTCGGAATCTCATAAACAACCAGGACTTCAGCAGAAAAAAGAATGACAACTCAGAAGATAAGATTCTTTCCATTACAAATGGCTTCAAAAAATTCAAAATTACACATCTTACAAGACCCAACGAACTCGGTACTACAACAAGCAAGGTAGCAAAGAGGAACCCGGACACAACTAGGCTTTGGAACGACTATGTGTTCCAAATTGCTACTCGGTAGAACAAACCGCACTCGGCTACACTGTTTTCTTCAAAGGAAGAACGCAGCACATCCAAGGCGGAAATCAGCAGCATGGTGGGACAACATGGACCAGGAGAAGCCTGCAGGCATCTATCTACCCAAGTCCGATGTGATGCTGGATATGGTGTTGATCTGCATCGGACAGTCTCAGGGCAGGCGACGAGGATCAACCTAGAACTATTGGATGAAGGAACGTATCCCACATCACAAGACTTCTTCCAACTACCGCCACATACTTCCCGGTACAATGCCGCTGCGGAATTAGTCTACCTCTAATCCCTATCACAAGACTCTCTCCAGCTACGACAAGATACACAAGAACCACAAAATACACCCAGGGGCTGCTCTACTTCACAAACTATCATATTCATGACTACGGAGATTTCAGACCACGCAACAAAATGCTCGATGAATCAAAATAGCACACCAGGAGGGTATTTATAGACCAAAGAAGCGGTGCACATGGACCGGGAGCACCAACGGAACAAACCTAACAAAGGACATAGTGAAAAGACATAATTCAATGAAAGAGGACTCGGGCGTGAATGAACAATACTCAAGAATGAGCATATTTAGAAGAATATACCAACAATGTACAACTCATGAACAAACAACATTTACTCTCAACCACCACCATACAACTACATCTGACAACAGCAGACTACCAGAGAACATGCCAAGATTCTGTATCCGAGCTCTTTTTGAATAAAAGAACCCAGGTATATGTTCGAGGGCTGCAATAGGAAAGGCTTTCAGTCCTTTGAACAACTCAGATTCAAGACCCTCCAACTTTTTGTTTCAAATAGCAAGAGGCTCGGGGGCTACACTCAGTGAGTGCCCTTTTTTCTTCAAAAAGCGCACATCACTCAGAAGACTTCCTCAAGACAGCAGTTTTTAAACAACATAAGATTCAAGACCCTCCAACTTTTTGTTCCAAATAGCAAGAGGCTCGGGGGCTACACTCAACCACTTCAAGGCCTCACGACAAAAAGAACCCGGACCTAGCTATATCCGAGCTCTTTTTGATAAAGAACCCGGGTATATGCTCAGGAGCCTTTCGACGAAGAATTAGAGCGATTTCAAGAGAAGACCCTCTAGCTCCTTGTGCCAAATAGCAAGAGGCTCGGGGGCTACACCCAAATGGGAGTACTTTTTTCTTCAAAAAGGTACACACCACGCGAAGATCTCACGAAGCGCTACACGGTTTCGCTCAAGAAAGCACTCGGACGACGCTTGTTCCTGCTCGGCAAGACCTGAAGGAACAAGACGAGGCTTCCAGAGCTCAACCATGAAGTGCTCGGGGGCTTGTCGGTGCGGGACCCATGGGATACCCCGCAAGGAAGGAGAAGATGTAGTCTAACTAGGATTCTTCCCATGTAATCTTAGTAGTAGTATTATTCTGTAATCCTACTAGGAACTCTCATTGTAAACCGACTAGGACTCTGGCCTCCTGACTATATAAAGGAGGGCAAGGTTCCTAGATATGGGACTTTTTACGACGCAATACTTCACAATCAATCAAACGCAAAGGCTAACGCCGACTGGACGTAGGGCTATTACTCGATCAATGATCGAGGGTCCGAACCAGGATAAATCGACTGTCTCTTGCGTTTACCGTCGAGTTCCGCATATGCTGAAACCTGAACAAACTGCCCCGGGTACCCCGTGGCAGGCTATCGGTGGTGAAACATCGACAGGTCTCATGCGGTTATGGTGTTCTATATTGTTGCAGTGAGTTCACAGTGGTATGATGTCGCACCATTTGCGCCCTCAACCATAGTGGCAGCTCCAACCCTAACCTCTGTGCCCGCACCAATGCCATCCACTGTGCCTACACCAACATTGGCAGTGGGATTGTTTAATGCTATGACAACGCGACACTGGGTAAGTCTCTCCAAGCTTAAATCACTCTCTTTTTCTATTTTTACAATTTCTGTCATTAACAAACTAAATCACTCCGATCTTCTATTTCAGCATGATACACTAGCTCAAGACTTGGAAAATGTTCTTGGTACTACACAACTCTATGTCTTGCTGATAACCACACCTCTTGAAGAAATTAGAAACTTAAGTAACAATGCCATGACCTTCCCTAATGATGGCATGGTTTCTGCACACAACATACAAAACATAGTAAGTGAGTCTATTTAGTGGTGATTAAAATTTTAGTTCACTTCTATTTAGTTGTGATTACAATCTTCAGTTCACTAACACCATGCATTACCAGTTGTTGGGGGATAAGACGTGAAGTAAATATCATTCAAGCACAATGCAAGTCAATGAAGCTATATGTTCAGGAAGATTCTCCCCATCGTTCTTATCCCTTTGAAGGACCTGGCCAATCACATCACGGAGATATTATGCATGTGTGGATCTGATCATCACACAACTGTTGGGGCATTGGTAGACGTGGCAGAGCCATTGGTGCCTGGTCACCAGGAATTTAACACTCTGCGTAATCAGTGTATGGGTGTTAGCAACAGCGGAGGGGAATTTGGGGAAAGGGCTAGAGAGGCTTGGAGAAGGGGAATAAGCCGAGCAATAGCGTGGACGAGCTCATTCATAGTTCAGAGTTTTTGGTTACAATTGTTCATACCCTCTCTCTCCCTCACGCCATCAATCATCATCATCATACATATAGTTCACCCATTCCGGGCCGCACACTCGCGTACTGGGCTTCAGCGATCTCTTGGGCCTTGCTGGTCTGGACTGGGCCTCCTCTTGTTCAACTCCATCCGTTAGTGTCTACTCACCCTTCTGTTGCCGGCACAGCAGTCCTGGTGTTGACAATAAGCTTGCCAGGGACCCAATTTCCCCCAATATTCTCACTCGTGACCACAGGCCCCTGCAAGATGTTAATCTTTCCGTCCAAGGCCCCAACGTAGATACACCTACAAAACCTCCAAAATAACAGCTCAGAATTTGTGCAACTTAACACAAAGCTACTGCCTCATATCTTCACCAGAGATTATGTGTTTAAAGTAAACATTGTGTAATATAAACACGTGATGTGCACCAAGGACCACAGCAGCAAAACTGTTTCCAACAACACCAGGTCACATCTTTGCTCCTCTGGAGATCGAGATGTTTCAGTACAGTTCCCGCTGAGTAACCTTGATGTAATCACAAGTTGCCAAAGCTGCAGAACAAACATTCCTCATTAAATAATATGTTCCATTCAAGCATTACAATTAAACTGAGTGCTATCATAAAAAGCATCATGTTCCATTCTTCATGTCATGGTTATTAAACATGTCACTTATCTTGGTTGATCGAATAAAATCAAAATTCTGCAAGCATAGATCAGATAAGCGTTCTTTATTAAAACACATCAGTACAGAAATCTCTAGGAAAACAGGTTGATACTTTATGCCTTTTTTGAGACAAGGCTTGATACATCCTTCAGCCATGTCTCATATATGTTTCCCAGGATCATCATCTGGTTATTGTCCATAATTACTTGCGGGAGTTCCCTTAGTGCTTTCCGCTTTGATGCTTTAGGTGGTTGTTGCTGCTTTGTCAGGAAAAGTGCTAGCTCAAGTAAACAAGAACAAACTAAACAAGTAATCCCTTTTTTCATACTATTTTTTAGATGTAATAAGGCTTGATAACTCATGTTTACCTTCATCTTCTGTTCCTCTTGCTCGTCTGGTGAACCCCCTGCAAGAGAACTGCCAGTAATTGCAGCAAGAATGCTTCAAATATTTTATCAAAAAAAAAAAACGCTTCAAATATGGCATAAATACAACAACACATGTAGTTAAATTATGTCCAGCAGTCAACCAACAAAAAAATTATGAAGGGAGAAACTAAATACAAGTTCTTTTCGTCAAGTACAAAAGGTTGAAATACAATATAAGTTGATCAATCAGGAATATAGTTGTGCTTAGTGATTACAAGTAAGCCAATTGATCACATTGCCAAAAGAGAAAGAATGAGATATGCCATATAGCAGCTAGAAGACTCAGTAGTTGCTGTTGAAGTGTATAAGTGCATTGCCCACCTCTTCCTCAAGGCTTAAGCGATCAGGAAGAGGTGGGTCATGCATTTATACACACTTCAACACCCCCACCCACGTGCAGCCAAAGATGAAGGTGCAAATGTGGAAATAAAGGGGCGGAGGAACAAATGAAGCCATGAATAAAAAAAAGAGTTAGATTAGTCATAAACAAACATTTAAGGTTCTCCATGATCTACAAACATTTAAGTTTCTCCATGGTCTAGAGATGTTACACTAAGTTGTAGTGATTTATTTCTAGCAGAGAAAATATCGGATGGCTAAGTAAGGGTTAGGTGGGTGCATTTAGAATAGGACAAAGTCACCCACAAAAAACGAAAGATAGGACAAATGGAAGGCTATCATAACTTGAAGCAACTGAAGAGCAGGATACAATGTGTCGTCCAATGGATGCTTCATCATCGACAAGGTACCATGTAAATTTCTCCCTTGCAGTAAGTGATTCTTTCAGGATGACTCAGTTAACTGTTAGCTCCACTTCAGATCCTAAACTCAACTGATCAGGGATATGGTGAACCATTCCAGCTCCATAGTACATCAGCTCAAGCATCATGTGGATGGCATCGTCATGGGGATTTGTCCGATCTCCAGAAACAAACACTCCAACCCCCCTGTCATGCCCTTCAACTTTGACGGATGACCACCCTGCACCTTTTACAACACCCTTCTGCTTCATCAAATGGCGTTCTTGTGCTGCCTCACACCACTGCCCCTTGCTAGCATAGAGGTTCGCCATTGCCACATGTGCTCCTGAACCCCATGGCTCTGCCTCCATCATCCTCTCTGCAGCTTTCTTTCCAGTTTCCTCTGCCCCTCGAGCAGCACATGCCCTAAGCAAAGATGTCCAAACGACACCATCTCTTCCATCAGCAGCAATTCTTCCAATCAACTCCTCAGCTTCATGTATTCTACCAGCTCTGGCTAACAAATCAACAACACAGCCGTAGTGCTCCTTTTTAGGCTCCAGCCTGTAGCTTTTGTTCATTGCATTGAGGTATCTCAACCCGAGCTCAACTTCCCCCGCGTGAGAGCAAGCAGTGAGTACACCAATGAACGTAACATGGTCCGGCTTTAGCCCGACACGGCACATTTCCTCAAACAGTTCAAATGCCTCTTTGCTGTGACCATGCTCAGCATGTCCAACGATCATTGCAGTCCATGAAATCACATCATCTTTAGTGCGACTGGAAAATATGACAGTAGCATCTGACATGCTACCGCTCTTTCCGTACATGTCAATGAGCGCACTTCTGAGTTTCTGACCATTGCATGGTGTTCAAGTCCAGCAGTGATAGCAAGTGCATGCAGCTGGCGTCCAGCATCCAGTGATGAAGCACTTGCACACACACTGAAGAGACTGGCAAGAGTAAACTCATTCGGCCGAGGGCAGTTGCTGTGATGCCGCATTTCTGAGAACAAGGCAAAAGACTCCTTGGCGAGGCCTTCCTGTGCATATCCTGATATAATTGTGCTCCAGGAGACAACATCCTTGACAATACTCTCCCGGAAGATAGCATCTGCAGCTGATAGACGTCCACAGCGCGCATAGAGTTTGACAAGGGAACCGACCACAGAGCGGGCATGAGATAGCCCTCTCCGTGCAGCTTGTGCATGTAACTGCTCTCCAAGATAGGCACGTTCAATAATTGGACACGCAGCAATTACGGCAGAGAAAGTATCATCAAAGTGTTCGGCTGAGCTGAAATTTTCACTGTTTATGCTGGAAAATACTATTTATGCTGGAATGTTGTGAGAGAGAAATACTGCTCCGGCTGAAAAAATAAGCCAAACGAGCAAAATTTCAGCTCAGCCGAACACTTTGATACTGCAGAATTTGACGACTCCTCGCGAAGCATTCCGACAAACACCTCGACAGCTTCCTCCGCGCGGCCGGTCGAGACGTAGGAGGCGATGAGCGTCGTCCACGCGGCAACGTCGCGCGAGCCCATGCGGCGGACCGCGGCCAGCGCGCGGTCGACGTGGCCGCACCGTGCGTACAGCGTCGCGAGCGCGTTGGCGACGTAGGGCACGGCGTCGAGGCCGAGCTTGGCGCAGAGCGCGTGCACCTCGCGGCCGCGCGGCAGCAGCAGCCCCACCCCCGCATCGGCGCACGCCGTGAGCGCGGCCGCGCAGGCGTGGGAGTCGCAGGCCACGCCGGAGGCCCGCCGCATCTCGGCGAAGCGGCGGAGAGCGTCGTGCCGCGGCCGGCCCGCGCCAGCGCGGCGACGAGCATGGTCCACGAGACCACGTTCTTGCGGGGCGTTTCGTCGAGCGCCTGGAGCGCCAGCTCGCGAGCGCCGTGGAGACGAACACGGACGACGCGGCGGAGGAGCGGACGGCGAACGCGTGCAGCGCGGCCGCCGTGGCGGCGGCGTGGGGGAGGCAGAGGGGGAGGAGCCCTGCGCCGGCGCCGGCGGCAGCGGAGGCGGAAGCGCAGGCCTTGAGGACGGGGCTGAGGACGAACGGGTCCGCGGCGGCGTGAGGCCTGGAGGAGTGGCGGAGGCGGGAGAAGAGCGCCATGGCGCCCGGGAAGTCGGCTGCCGCGGCATAGCCCGAGAGGAGCGTGGCGTAGGCGACCTCGTCGCGGTGCGGCATTGCGTCGAATAGACTCCTCGCGTCGGAGAGCTGGCCCGACCGGACCAGGTGACTCATCATCGGACGCGGTGCCGGGGACCAGACCTTTCCTCCTCCCGACGCTGTTTTGCACACCGGCCTTCCGCCCCGGCGCTCCTCGGGCTTTCGGTGATGGGGGCGGCGCAGGGCCGGCCGTCCCCGGCGCGGACGCACAGTCACGCAGTGACTTTACCCTGCCACATCCACCGTCCAAACAAGATCAGAAGGCCGCAGCTGTTTTTCACCCTGGTATTTGGCTTCTGGGCTTCTCGCCCGCGAAGATAGTGCGGGAGCAGCTCTCCATCCGTGCGCCCTGGGCCGTCCTCCACTCCTCCTGCAGTCCTGCCGTCCTGCGCCTGTGCCGCTGTGCGGCGCGCCGCCTTGAAGGAGCAGGAGCAGCCCGGCGCCGTGCGCATGGGCGGCGCGGAGCTGGCGGTGTGCGTCGTGGGGCGGCGCGTGCGTTCATCATGCTGCGGCCGGAGACGGCCACCGTGCAGTGCGTGGTGGCCGGCGGCGAGATGGGGCGGTTCGCGGCTGCCGGTTGGGCTGAGCCGGGAGGCGGTGGACGTCGACGTGGCCGCCCTGAAACGCTGGAAGAACGAACGTGTTCAGCATCAGCAAGCTTGCTGCCGTTCAAACAGAGCCCCCTGCTGGAAACTCTTCCAGCTCCAGTTCTGGTATGCCCACGAAAAATTCACTGGGAACAAGCATCCTGTGACATGTAGGGCATGCGCTGATTACGTGGCCTACGCTAGACAGGTTTAAATTTTCAGCCAGGCTAGCTTAAATTAATCTAGCTCCAATAATACAATGTGATGCTGTTTTATGTGACCTTTACTGCATAGTAGAGACACTGGTTTGTGTGTTGTGCATCCCAGTGGATGCAGGCCATGCTTGTGATGCCGCCTTCTGCTTCTAGCTCTGCTGGCGGCGGGACTTGCGCGATCAGACCTGTGAATGGGAAGCTAATGCCAAAGACGAAACTGCCAAATGCGCGCCTGCGTTTCTCAAGGTAGCAGCTGAGAAAGAGACACCGCCATCGGCGACAGTCTAACACTCTCATTCTGCGTTGTGCGTTCGTTCCAAAGACGACGTTATCATGAACGCCTCTCGATGTGCCGGCAGAGGACAGAGGGCACGCCAAGCCGTCTACCACCATCTCCATGGACATGGACCAACAACTGCTGGTCCATTTGGACGGCCGCGACGAGAGGAGGAAAAGACGCATCCAGCCAGCCATCCCGGAATACTATAAATCCCGTCCTGCCTGATCGCGACCAGTACGTGCTCCTGGCCGGCCAGCCGGCCCTCACAGACTCCCAGTTGTAGGCTTGTAGCGGTTAGCTCTGCACGGGCACGCAATGGCGACGACGGCCCGGCTGCCGCTGCTCTTCTGCCTTGTGCTGTGCCTCTGCTGCCGCGCTCCTTGCCTGGGCGCGGAGCTCATCGCCGGCAGCGGCGGGTACGCTGTCCGCGCCGTGACGGTGGACAAAGGAGGGGCGCGGCTCCGCGCCGAGCTCGCGGCCGTCGCTGCCGCTGGCGACCTCGACGTGTATGCCAGGTGCGATTACAATGAAGGAACATCGTTAGACATGTAGTACTAGCTACTCACCTCCGATTTTTCCCCTAGTTCTTTAGCTTCTGCATCTGCATGTATTTGGTTGCAAAATTACTGATGGAGTGACGGTAGAGTATAGACTGTTTCTGCTAAGAGATTAAAATAATTGCCGTGATATCTCTACTTTGCATGTTACCATTACCAAGAATTGACATCCATTCAGTACCTAGCTCATCTCAAGTCATCAGTATCACTATCAGTGACGGGAAAACTGTGGAGCGTGGAGACGTTCTAAGCGATGGAGAAAGTGGTAGGTGACTCGCTGCAGAGAACTAGCCAAATAGGAGTACAATAGAACTGGTTGCAGGTGGAGCGTCGATTTCGATTGATTTTATGGGAGAAATATATAGCTGCGCTGCACGGTTTATCATCAGCCGCAGAAATGCCCATGTTTGTGTGGCGCGTGGTGAGGGGACTCTTCGTCTCATCCCATGAAAACAACAGCTAACAAGAGAGAATAATTGATACTGGTACAGAAAGCTTTGAAGAAAACGAACACACGATCATGGGCAAGAATCGCACAATATAATCCAATAATTGGCCTCCTCGGCCGCATGGTACATAGAGATGGATATTATAGTAGACTGCTGTCTGTTCTCTCTGGCCTCTGCTTTCGTTAAGGTTTTCTCTCTCCTTCGTTGGTCCAGCTTGCTTAGGCTTGGTCACCTCTGCAGGTGTTGATAAGGTGATCAGTGATCACGATACTCTCACATGCAGCGCATCCCATTTTTGCCAAACTAAGGCTATCTCCAACGATGAGACCTTAAAATCGACACCCATTCCATTGTATGCGTCACCCTATGCAAAAGAGTCACATAACTAAAACATGCCTTCTCCAACAGCGGACCCAAAATAGAGACATGGAACCGCAGCCGCCGCGGTCGTCGTCTAGGGTGCAGCGGCGGCGCCTCCTCACCCGGCCCCCAAGCAGCAGCGGTGCCCCTCCCCGGCCCTCAAGCAGCGGCGGCGCCTCCTCTCCGACCCTCAAGCAGCGGTGGCGCGCCCTCTCCCGGTCCCCAAGCAGTGACGGCGCGCCTCCTCCCAGGCCCTCAAGCAGCGGCGGCGCGCGCTCCCCAGGGGCAAGGCTAGGGCCGCCGGGGTTGCGGCCTGCGGGCGAAGGTCGGCGGCGCACGCCTTGCTGCTCCCCTTGCCCGCACGCCACTCCTCCTCGTCTCCCCTTGCTGCTCCCCTCCCCTCCATGCTCCTGCGCCAGAGCGCGCCCGAAGGTGCGAGCGGCACGGCTGCCGCCGCCGCTTGTGACTGCATCCACCACCGGCGAGCCTCCATCGCCGCTTCTGGGGGCTGGATCTGGCGCCCCATGGTCGCCAGCCCCTCATCGAGCGGGAGTCGCGTCGTGCTGCACTGCCGGCGCCCCTAAGTCGCCGGGGTCATGTGACGCTGCCGCGCTCGGCCTACTGCCGGGCGAGGCCGGATCCGGGGCTCCACCGCCATCTACCCCTCCTCACCCGCATGCGGTGGCCAGCGCAGGGGAGCGCGCAGCGCATTCGCCGGTCCTCTCCTTCGTCCCCGAGTAGGAAACCGCCTCCTTCCCCAAGCCCCGCCCTGCCCCTTCCTCCCTTTTCCTCGTCCTCCTCGCGCCAGCCCTACCTCCGCTCCGCACGCCTCCTGCTGCTCGCCGCCTCCGACTCCACCTTCGAGTCCTCCGTCAGGGTTGACTACGCGAAACCCGCCAAGTCAGAGTAGGAGGAGGAGGACGATGGCGTAGAGGCCTCTGCCACCGTCGAGGGTGTCGCCGCCGCTGCCGCGGGCTGCCCCACCCCGGCGCCTCCTACGCGCCAAAGATTTGGGTTGAGAGAGAAGACGGAGGGAGGACGCACGTTTGGGTTCCCTTTCTCCTTCTACGCAAAATAGGCGCTTGGTATGCCTACTCTGTTGGACGCCGGTTTTTTCATGTGCGCGATGCATTTTGAGTTTGGGTCGCTGTATGGGTAGGCTGTTGGAGACAGTCCAATGCTAAGAGAAGACGGGAAATCTCTATCATCCAGAACTCCTTATACTCCATTGTCACACAAAAAGATGGCATAGCAGCACTCTGCTTGCAGCACCCCTAAGGCTATCTCCAACAACAACACCCAAAATACAAGACTCATTCGTTCTTTGGGTAGCGCTACAGGCAAAAGGTTCAATACCTATTCGGCATCTTCTCCAACAACAAGACCCAAAAGAGAATCCTTTTTGCAAATAGGTTTCCAGGAGAGAGGATGCCCATATTTGGGTTGTACCTCTCAGGCAACCCAAAATAGGTCTCCCGTATAGGTACTCTATTGGAGGCTGATTTTGGATCTCTTGCTACCCATTTTGGGTTTGGGTGCCCATATGGGTTCCTTGTTGGAGACAGTCTAACACCTGATTTTTTGCGCTGCTAGATCCCACCCACCGATTTTTTTAAAGAGAGGCAAGAGCAGTGCTTTATATTTTATTAGAAGAAAAAGAATTACTTCAGTTGTTAAAGTAAAATTGGGTCAGAAAACAGAATGAGTACTCGGTTCAAAAGGCCGACAAGACTGACCACCAGAGGAGCACAGAGCACTCCATACTACTAATTAAAAAAGGGAATATCTATTTATCTGTTGATAGATTTTGAAGAGTAAAATCTATCGAATTTTATGATGTTGCACATGTTATGATCCGATGTTGCACGTGTTATTCTTCTATGTTGCATATGACTGAAACAATGAAGTACTATGCAACATGCATGAACAATGCTTGGAACATGATAAAATATCATATGCAACATCTTATACAACTTGTCATATTTCCTCCTCTAACTTTGAAAATAATGAGAGCCAGGACAGCAGGACATCAAAGAACAACATTTGCAACATCAAAAAATTCGACAGATTTTTTCCTCAAAAATCTATCAGCAGATAAATAGCAATTCTGTTAAAAAAACTAACCAACCAGTTTGAAACCTCAAGA